AGGGGCATTTCGACTGTTAGAGTTATTTCAGAGTTATTTCTTAAACTATAGCTTGTAGTTTCGGAGACGGAGTAAATCTGAGTAGGTAAATTAATTTCTCTTGATCACGAAGTTACCTACACAAAGTGTTTAATTATTAAAGACATTTACCTGAGTATGTTAAGCTCCACAAGATTCAGTTACATAGCAAATCAGTAATTAGCTAGGGTGAATCCATTCTATCAGACAGGGAGTATGGTGTGTTTTCGTTGTTAATTACCGACTCCACTGTCTCATAACTGGGAGTAGACGGATACAATTGTACATGAGAAGAAATAGGTTTAATACCTGGGAGATATATGAGTGAACATATAAGACTTCTCTGTGCTATTGTCTTTAAAACCAGAAAGTTAAATAAACCTGGCCTATCATTACTAATTGATCTCCAAAACATTTATATGTACGATATGTGAAGTCAGTTTGTCCTCTGTCGTGATGTCGTTGGAATATTGATAAAAGCGGTGTAAAACCATACTCTCTCATTCGTTACTCACTCACATCGTGACCTGAATAACATTAATGATGTAAATGCCTTTCGTTTCTGAAGGTGAAAACAAAACGTTCACACTTTAATGAACACGCATGCCAAGACATATTGAAGTCAATTCGATGCCTCGTCAAAGAATCACAAGCAATGTATGTATATAACAATTCACTATTCTCACATCGTGTTCCAGGTCGACCGTATGTTGACGTGATCGCTGTACTCGTGTCTCACGTTAACCTTGGTGCTGACATCGGGTGTGACACTTTCAACGACTTTCGACAACATCAACCTCACCGTCTTATCTACTGCGGCTGCTCCATCAGGACATCTCCCAGTCAGTTATAATGTTCATATTTGTATTTTATTAGGTTAGGGGTTAGGTTAGAGTCGATATACTATTCATCTATGTATTTTGTTATGTTAGGGTTAGGTCTAGGTTGAGGACTGTAATTGGCTGCAGTGTCGATATAATATTCATGAGTTATTTTCATTGGGTTAGGTTTAGGTTTTACTGGGGTTTAGACCCGATATAACATTTATAAATATGTGCATTTTGTTATGGGTTAATGGTTTTACTGGGCTGCATAGCCGTTATAGTATTTATAACGAGTTTTTGTTAGTATTTTAATGGGCTGCATAGCCGTTATAATATTCATATGTGTATGTTTGAAAGGTTAGTGTTAGGGTTTTAATGGGACATAAGAGCATTTCATATTCATATGTGTATTTTAATGGGACGCAGAGCCGATTTAATATTCATCTGTTTATTTTTGTGGGCTTCAGAGCCGATAAAATATTCATATGTGTATTTTCATGGGCTGCAGAGCCGATTTAATATTAATATGTCTATTTTCATGGGCGCATCAGAGCCGATAAAATATTCATATGTCTATTTTCACGGGCTGCAAAGCCGGTTTAATATTCATATGTGTATTTTCATTGGCTTCAGGGCCGATAAAATATTCATATCAGTGTAGTTTCATGGGCTTCAGAGCCGATAAATATTCATATGTGTATTTTCATGGGCTGCAGAGCCGATTTAATATTAATATGTGTATTTTCGTGGGCACACCAGAGCCGATAAAATGTTCATATGTCTATTTTCATGGGCTTCAGAGCCCATAAAATATTCATATGTGTACTTTCATGGGCTGCAGGGTCGATGTAATATTCATATGTGTATTTTCATTGGCTTCAGAGCCGATAAAATATTCATATTCATATGTGTATTTTCATGGGCTGCAGAGTCGATAAAATAGTCATGTGTATTTCATTGACTGTAGTTTGGTTACAATACCAGAATTGGTTTGTTAGAATTGAAAATTTTAAATCAGAAACTGGATGGTCGAATTGGTTAAAGCGTTCGACAGTGTGAAGAAGAGTAGGCCTGTAGAATAACTTAGGTCCATTTAGGGTTTAACAAACTATTTGTACTGACACGCTTTCTAAAAAGTCATCATTGTGAGTGCTTTAATTGTTTATACATACTTCCTTTCAAACGTTTAGACTCACTAGTGTAAATATAGCAACTTATTTCAGGCAACTGTTCTAAACTACATTTTGCAAAATATTCGTACTGTTTAAAGGTACTGTTTACACATGAACTGATATATTGTAAAACAAATTCGTAACGTTGAAAAGATTGTTGTCATGAGTTCAATAAATGATACAAATCAGTGACAATTGCTGAATTCTTAACAACACTTTACACCAAAACGCAGTTGTTCACATGCATAATATTTACACAAACATTTCAGCAATTTCAGCATGATCAATATTCATCAGTATTTTCATTGGGTTAGGGTTAGGTTTAGGGTTTAATGTGGCTGCAGACCCGATATAAATTCATATGTGTATTTTGTTAGATTAGGGTTAGGTTTAGGTTAGGGTTTTAATGGGTTGCAGAGTCGATATACGGGTTGCATGAGTCGATATTTCATGGGCTGATATGTGTAACCTTGGTGCTGACATCGGGTGTGACACTTTCAACGACTCTCAACGTCAACTTCATCACCCTCATCGTCTTTCTCATCTTCTGCGGCTGCTCCACCGTCCTTATCCGACCGATGATCGTTTAGGACTAGGGTATATTTCCTACCGGAATATCCGGGGTGTGTACATTTTGTCTTGAGCTGGGGGTAGGTGTCAAGAACAGTTTATAATAGGACATCTTCCAGTCAGTTTGTTTCTTTCTGTATATACTCGTCGGTCTGTTGCTGGAGATCAATTCTAACCCGGATCTTCACGGCTTAATGTGTGACCACTGTTTTGGCGTTACTCCCCATCTGCACTGACACACTGACACTGACGTCATTCAGTGCACTGTTTTTCGGGGTGATCGAAGGGATTCGTTCTTGTCCCATGGTGGTTCCACAGTCGGCTCCCAGTTAGGTAGCAGCCGACTGTACTAGGATTAAGGTGTACGTACCCAGGCCACCCTGTCTGGGGGGCTGTTGCAGAAACATGCCCAGCTAGTTAGTGTCTTCAACAGTCGTGGTCAGAACTGTTAGATTAGGGGTTAGGATAGATAGGGACTCCCCATGACTCCCCATAACTTAGGGCTAACCCACCATTCTTAGTTGCCCCAGTAGGTAGTTCCGAGACCGCGAATCCTGTCCTTATCACCTTGGGGAGGCGGTGTGGTGGGTGGCGTCAGTGTCAGTGTGTCAGTGTAGATGGGGGATGCAAGGCCGAAATAGTCGTCACGCATTAAGTCGTGAAGATACGGGCTAGTGTTGGTCTTCAGCAACAGATCGGCGAGTACATGCAGGAAGCAGGAAAATGACTGGGAGATGCCCTGATGTTAACCGTTTTTGGCACCTACCCTAAGCACAAAATGACAAAATGTACACATCCCGGATATTCCGGTTGGAAAAATGCCACAGTCCTCAGCGATCATCGATCGGATAAGGACGGTGGAGCGGCCGCAGAAGACGAGGTAGACAATGAGGTTGACGAGGTTGACGTTGAGAGTCGCTGAAAGTTTCACATTCGATGTCAGCACCAAGGTTAATGTAGTAAGCAAATGAACGTGACCTGTAAATTTTAGGTGATAGGATAGACAAAGTTTGGAGTCCATTGTTATCTCAAAACTATAGTTCGGGTTTTAATGGGCAGCGTCGCCGATATAATATTCATATTTGTATTTTTAATGGGGTGTAGTTTTAATGGGCTACATAGCCGTTATAATATTCATATGTGTGTTTTCATGGACTGCTTAGCCGATATAATATTCATATGTGTGTTTTAAATGGATTAGGGTTTTAAAGGGCTGTATTTTAATGGGCCGATACAATATTCATATCTTTGTTGCATTGACTGTAGATCCGTTACAATACCAGAATTGGTATGCTTCAATTGAAATTGGTATATGTGAGTGCTTAATTGTTTATATATGTTGGGGCAATGTGTCCGTTTTGCACGCCTGCTACTGTAAACCCTCCAGTAGAGGTAGTGTTGCATACGTTGAGGGAACACGGTTCCAGAGCTTTTCACAAAAGTGTTTTTACCTCTGGTTTTACGTGTCGGGCTTCAGCTACCATCGACCCTTTTCATATGTACGGTTAATATACACACACTTATTGTGTGGTTGCAGGCATGATGCCGACGGTTTTAGCAACAAGTATATAGAATTGTGCTTTCCCGTTCTTCACGCCGTGGTGACAAATATTGAGGTTAAAAGGAGTCTAGAAATATTGGAGGGATTTTGATACTACTGGTGGGACGAGGGGTGTACTGGTGGTGAAAGGTTAAAGGTTACTGGTGTATGGAGGGATAGTGTATATGGTGTAGGTTTCTGGAGGGATAGAGTGTACTGGTGGTGACGAGGTTAAAGGTTACTGTGGTGTATGGAGGGATAGAGTGTACTGGTGGTGACGAGGTTAAAGGTTACTGGTGTATGGAGGGGGATAGTGTACTGGTGGTGATGGTTAAAGGTTACTGGTGTATGGAGGGATAGAGTGTACTGGTGGTGACGAGGTTAAAGGTTACTGTTGTATGGAGGGATATAGAATAGAGTACTGGTGGTGGTGACGGGGTTAAAGGTTACTGGTGTATGGAGGGATAGTGTACTGGTGGTGACGGGTTAAAGGTTACTGGTGTATGGAGGGATAGAGTGTACTGGTGGTGTGAGGTTAAAGGTTACTGGTGTATGGAGGGATAGTGTACTGGTGGTGGTGGTGTGAGGGGTTAAAGGTTACTGGTGTATGGAGGGATAGTGTACTGGTGGTGACGAGGTTAAAGGTTACTGGTGTATGGAGGGATAGTGTACTGGTGGTGACGAGGTTAAAGGTTACTGGTGTATGGAGGGATAGAGTGTACTGGTGGTGACGAGGTTAAAGGTTACTGTTGTATGGAGGGGATAGTGTACTGGTGGTGACGAGGTTAAAGGTTACTGTTGTATGGAGGGGATAGTGTACTGGTGGTGACGAGGTTAAAGGTTACTGGTGTATGGAGGGATAGAGTGTACTGGTGGTGACGAGGTTAAAGGTTACTGTTGTATGGAGGGATAGTGTACTGGTGGTGACGAGGTTAAAGGTTACTGGTGTATGGAGGGGAGTAGTGTACTGGTGGTGACGAGGTTAAAGGTTACTGTTGTATGGGGGGATAGAGTGTACTGGTGGTGACGGGGTTAAAGGTTACTGGTGTATGGAGGGATATAGTGTACTGGTGGTGACGAGGTTAAAGGTTACTGGTGTATGGAGGGATAGAGTGTACTGGTGGTGACGAGGTTAAAGGTTACTGTTGTATGGAGGGATAGTGTACTGGTGGTGACGGGGTTAAAGGTTACTGGTGTATGGAGGGATAGTGTACTGGTGGTGACGAGGTTAAAGGGTGTATGGAGGGATAGTGTGTATGGAGGGTTAAAGGTTACTAGTGTACTAGGTGGTGACGAGTTTAAAGGTTACTGTTGTATGGAGGGATAGAGTGTACTGGTGGTGACGAGGTTAAAGGTTACTGGTGTATGGAGGGATAGAGTGTACTGGTGGTGACGAGGTTAAAGGTTACTGGTGTATGGAGGGATAGTGTACTGGTGGTGACGAGGTTAAAGGTTACTGTTGTATGGAGGGATAGAGTGTACTGGTGGTGACGAGGTTAAAGGTTACTGGTGTATGGAGGGATAGTGTACTGGTGGTGACGAGGTTAAAGGTTACTGGTGTATGGAGGGATAGAGTGTACTGGTGGTGACGAGGTTAAAGGTTACTGGTGTATGGAGGGATATAGAGTGTACTGGTGGTATGGAGGGATAGGTTAAAAGGTTACTGGTGTATGGAGGGAGGAGTGTACTGGTGGTGACGAGGTTAAAGGTTACTGGTGTATGGAGGGATAGAGTGTACTGGTGGTGACGAGGTTAAAGGTTACTGTGTGTATGGAGGGATAGAGTGTACTGGTGGTGACGAGGTTAAAGGTTACTGGTGTATGGAGGGATAGAGTGTACTGGTGGTGACGAGGTTAAAGGTTACTGTTGTATGGAGGGGTATAGTGTACTGGTGGTGACGAGGGTTAAAGGTTACTGTTGTATGGAAGGATAGAGTGTACTGGTGGTGACGAGGTTAAAGGTTACTGGTGTATGGAGGGATAGTGTACTGGTGGTGACGAGGTTAAAGGTTACTGTTGTATGGATGGAGGGGGAGAGTGTACTGGTGGTGACGAGGTTAAAGGTTACTGTTGTATGGAGGGATAGAGTGTACTGGTGGTGACGAGGTTAAAGGTTACTGTTGTATGGAGGGATAGAGTGTACTGGTGGTGACGAGGTTAAAGGTTACTGTTGTATGGAGGGATAGAGTGTACTGGTGGTGACGAGGGTTAAAGGTTACTGGTGTATGGAGGGATAGAGTGTACTGGTGGTGACGAGGTTAAAGGTTACTGGTGTATGGAGGGATAGAGTGTACTGGTGGTGACGAGGTTAAAGGTTACTGGTGTATGGAGGGATAGAGTGTACTGGTGGTGACGAGGTTAAAGGTTACTGTTGTATGGAGGGATAGTGTACTGGTGGTGACGAGGTTAAAGGTTACTGTTGTATGGAGGGATAGAGTGTACTGGTGGTGACGTGAGGTTAAAGGTTACTGTTGTATGGAGGGATAGAGTGTACTGGTGGTGGTGACTGGTTAAAGGTTACTGGTGTATGGAGGGATAGTGTACTGGTGGTGACGAGGTTAAAGGTTACTGGTGTATGGAGGGATAGAGTGTACTGGTGGTGACGAGGTTAAAGGTTACTGTTGTATGGAGGGATAGAGTGTACTGGTGGTGATGAGGTTAAAGGTTACTGTTGTATGGATGGGATAGAGTGTACTGGTGGTGACGAGGTTAAAGGTTACTGTGTGTATGGAGGGATAGAGTGTACTGGTGGTGACGAGGTTAAAGGTTACTGGTGTATGGAGGGATAGAGTGTACTGGTGGTGACGAGGTTAAAGGTTACTGGTGTATGGAGGGATAGTGTAGTGTACTGGTGGTTAAACGAGGTTAAAGGTGTACTGGTGTATGGAGGTTACTGGGATAGAGTGTACTGGTGGTGACGAGGTTAAAAGGTTACTGTTGTATGGAGGGATAGAGTGTACTGGTGGTGACGAGGTTAAAGGTTACTGGTGTATGAGGGATAGTGTATAGAGTGTACTGGTGGTGACGAGGTTAAAGGTTACTGGTGTATGGGGGATAGAGTGTACTGGTGGTGATGAGGTTAAAGGTTACTGTTAGTGTATGGAGGGATAGTGTACTGGTGGTGACGAGGTTAAAGGTTACTGGTGTATGGAGGGATAGAGTGTACTGGTGGTGACGAGGTTAAAGGTTACTGTGTGTATGGAGGGATAGAGTGTACTGGTGGTGACGAGGTTAAAGGTTACTGTTGTATGGAGGGATAGAGTGTACTGGTGGTGACGAGGTTAAAGGTTACTGTGTATGGAGGGAGAGAGTGTACTGGTGGTGACGAGGTTAAAGGTTACTGGTGTATGGAGGGATAGTGTACTGGTGGTGACGAGGTTTAAAGGTTACTGGTGTATGGAGGGATAGAGTGTACTGGTGGTGACGAGGTTAAAGGTTTCTGGTGTATGGAGGGATAGAGTGTACTGGTGGTGACGAGGGTTAAAGGTTACTGGTGTATGGAGGGATAGTGTACTGGTGGTGACGAGGTTAAAGGTTACTGATAGAGTGTATGGAGGGATAGAGTGTACTGGTGGTGACGAGGTTAAAGGTTTCTGGTGTATGGAGGGATAGAGTGTACTGGTGGTGACGAGGTTAAAGGTTACTGGTGTATTGAGGGATAGAGTGTACTGGTGGTGACGAGGTTAAAGGTTACTGGTGTATGGAGGGATAGAGTGTACTGGTGGTGACGAGGTTAAAGGTTACTGTGTGTATGGAGGGATAGAGTGTACTGGTGGTGACGAGGTTATAGGTTACTGGTGTATTGTGGGATAGAGTGTACTGGTGGTGACGAGGTTAAAGGTTACTGGTGTAATGAGGGTTAAAGTGTACTGAAGTGAGGTGAGGTGAATATCGGGTTTCGCTCATATGACGGCGTGCATGCGCGTGTATGTGTATGTGTATGTGCTGCTGCTTGTACTTGCGCAGATTGTAAAATATTTCTCAAACTGAACATTCGTGTAACCTTACTGTCATACCCCAAGGGGAATTTGAAATGAATTCGCTGAAAAATATATGAATGACCAAAAATGTCACACTAAACTATTCCCAGAGATGTGAAATATATGCCCAATGTTAAAGAACAAAGTTGATTAGTTACATACAGATATATAGTTACATACAAATACGATATTATTGTTTTGAAACTCGTAGCGATTTATAATTACATTTCCTAAAACTGTTAGAAGCGCCCGTACAATCTCCACAACAAGCCCGCAAGATCGCCCCAAATACACTCAGTTGGCCGCATGAGAGCCGTTATGTCAACAAACGCACGTAATTCATGAAGATAATACAAAAAGCAAGGGAATTTTACCAAGACTTTTTATTATGGAAGAAAAACAAAAACTAACATTCTGTAATATTGTTTTCTTGCAACCCGTCAGCTTTTCGAAGACTTGTTAAAACACGTGACCAGCGCATGTTGATGGACAAACTGAAAGTAGAGGGTTGTGGTAGAGTCCAGTCTGAAACAAAGGAAAGGGAAAATTGTGGCAAAGCATGAATCGATATTACGAACATCTTCCTCCTGTCATTGGTTTCGATAACACCAACCAACCAATCCACCTAGCCTGACCACCCAATCTATATACAGTTGCTTCTTGCGACCAACACAGGCACCTGAGACCAATGGCTTCCTGTGTTCAGTAAAATGAGGTCATGTGTCGAACTCATGCGGATCGTCGGATATGTGTCGAGTTATATGTGTCGAGTTATATGTTGTGTCGACAGAAGCTGGGTGATATTACATTGCACTGCTCATACGGATTATGGGGAATTAACCAATCAATTCTTCTCTAGTTCGAGACAATGAAGGTCGAGGTACCGACGTTTCACTGTATTCGAGATTGATGTAAGTTGCCTTACTGTCAGACCCGATTTCCCCACATGGGTACAATGTGTGATGCTTATTTTAGAGCATCCCCATTGTGAAGAAGCTGAGCTATTGCTAAAGCCGGGATGAAACCATACTTAATGGGTGAGTATTGTTTTACTCCGAAGTGGCGGTGAGTAGATTAGTGGTAAAAGCGTTCGCTCGTCACACCGAAGGCCTGGGTTCGATTCCCCACATGGGTACAATGTGTGAAGCCCATTCCTGGTGTCCCCCGCTGGAATATGGCTAAACGCGGCGTAAAACTAAAGTCATTCACTCATTAGCATTACGTCAATGGACTCCAGAAATGGGCGTCACAAACTGTACAGATGTGGCGAGTCGAACCCGGCAAGTGTCATCTTTGACTGAGATACATACCACAGCGGACTTAACCAGCCGTTGTCAGGACGATGGGGAGGTAGTTGGAGTGGCTGTGACCGCCGCCGCTGCCGCCCATCATGTAAGGGATGGGCATGGGGATGCCGTGGGAGTGATGATGGCTGCTGTGGCTACCACTGTGACAACAACACGCCGTCGTCGACGTCACCAGGCACACTGGAAGAAAAAGAACATTGGACTGTGTTCAAAACCTGTTAATAATTGACAGACAGTACCTTAACATCATTTAGCTGCTAATATCACCGATATTCCAAAAATCAAGCTATAGCAAGGTGAGTAGACACATTGAAGTCGTGTGGGGAATCGAACCTATTTTTTGGGTTGAATGAGCCAACCTTTAAACTATTGGGTTTTAACCATAACAAGACAGTGGGCGCATTGACGTCCTGTGGGGATAGGAAAGCGGTCTTGACTAAGCAGTACATTATGCTGACGATAAGTTATATTAAACAAATTAATCCATAATGTTTATCGATATGTCTAACAGAGCATTGTCTTTTTCGTAATTAATTAATTAATTTAACACACAATAAAGCAAGCCCATAGCAATTAGTATTCATTACTATTCGTTTTGTTTATCAAATGAAAAAAACCCCAATAGAATACAAACCAAACATAACCACAGCAGAAATGAAAGCTAGACACTTCATGTTGAGATGAAAACAGAAAACTGAATGATAAACCAACCACAACTCCTACTTTTTATACTAATCTGTTAAATTCCGGGCCTCGCTGGGTAAAGCCGAAACTGATCCGGATTAAACCGAGGGAGGTCTCATTGCGTTGATTCCCAGCAGTGGCTCATGTGGCGAAATACTTTGTGTTACGATGTCAGGAATGAGATTACACCCAGAAACCAGGATGGTGTGTCCTCAATTGTCAGTGTTACGTGAACTATCATGATAATAATGTAACCATAATCCTAATAATCAATGAAATAGCACAAGAATAGAACTAAAAATATTTTAATTTTTAACATAAGTTACACACGTTTTCATCTTAATTTTTACATGACTATTGCAGGTCTTTTCTTCAAGCAACAAAAGAAGAGTAACAGTATGCACGAAAACAACCAAAAATAAAATATTGCAGATATAAACTACCGTGCGACAAAAAATACAGTTGTAATTGGATTTCACATATCTATTACACACATTATCAAAGTGAGTGAGTGAATTTATGCCGCTTTTAGCAATATTCCAGCAATAACACGGCGGGGGACGCCAGAAATGGGCTTCACACACTGTACCCATGTGGGGAATCGAACCCGGGTCTTCGGCGTGACGAGCGAACGCATTAAACACTAGGCTACCCCACCGCCCGAACAGTCGCGGAAACACTGCAAGCTTAATGTCCGAAATGCAACTATCCAATACATCACCATCGAATAACCATTTTGCGTTTGTTTAATTTTTAGCTTCTTTCATCAAGGGTATATAGCTTCTCTTGTTTATTGTTCAGATAATAGTATTGATATATTTTATATAATAAAAAAGAACATTGTGTTCATACCACCAATTAACTTCTTCATTAACCTTCAAGTGACCTCCTAAAGTCCAGGCAACCTGGACCACCTGTATTGTTAACTGACCACCTGCATTGTTCACAGACCACCCAGTTTTGTTAAGATACAGGTAGCTAGGCGTGGTGTTTCATGGTCAAGCTATATAAACCCAAATTTCCAGAGAGATCAACAAACATTTTTTTTTGCTTCTTAAAGGAAACAAGACACACAGACAACTTCAAAATGAAGATGTTCGCTGGTTTGATTGCAATTGTTCTCGGTAGGTAACACGTGTTTTTTCTTCAATGTATCTGGGAGAAATTGGTGTTGAATTCCAGTAGATCATGTTTACTTTTATAGAAATTTGGCATTAAACATGTACTTCTCACGAAAATAAACATTTTGGGCTTTTCCTGGAGTGTATTTTAGGCGTTGTAGTTTAGGTTTTGGTAGGGGCGGTGAGGTAGCCAAGTGGTTAATGCGTTCGCTCGTCACGCCGAAGGCCCAGGATCGATTCCCCACATGGGTATAATATGTGAAGCCTATTTCTTGTGTCACGCAGTGGTATTGCTGGAATATTGCTGAAAGCGACGTAGAACCCATCTAACTCAGTTTAATGTTAAAATGTCACTTTTCTATTCATACTTTAACTTTATAACTACTAGGTATGCTGGTGTCGTATTCTGACGCCTGCTGTTGTCACAAGGGCAGCCACAGCAGCCACCACAGCAGGCACGGCATCCCCGTCCCCATCCCCTACATGATGGGCGGCCACAGCGGCGGCAGCCACTCCTCCAACATCCCTCTCATCATCACAACTCCCGGAAAATAGACAATGGTAAGCCACTGCATTTATCTTATGGGAAATAGGTGCCGAGTTCCTCGCTTGCATTATGTGAAGTACAGAGACAAGGGGAAATGACTCTTGACGGACTGATAACAGCGCTGACAAATATGATTTTAAACGGGGAAAAGCGTTCAATATAATGTTAGATAATTCAATATAGGAATCTGTGAGTATCAAGGAGCCTTCAAATATCTCCTGGAGTGTTCAAAGAGGATAAGTATAGTGTTCAAAAGCCGAAAAGAGATGGTGGTGAATGGATAAATCGAACACATCCGGGAAAAAGAAAATGCACATCCATATTTGATGGTGACAGACAAGAAATGGTTATTGATGGTGACAAGACAAGAAATGGTTAATCGATGTGTCACAGTTCTGTTTTTACCTAATATGACGATTTTGACCTTCGGCGATCGATTTTTTTGGACGTTTGTAATATTTTGGTCAAATACGATTTTCAAGTGTTTTTTCATTTTTTATGCTTTGAGGTCAGTTAGGGAATATCGACAACGCGTAGTACAATGTTCATTGTATGTAAAGTCTATGAAGTGTTATTTCTGTTCCAGATATTTCTGTTGCTGCTGGAGCATACTTCAGGGAGACGGCGATGCATGGTGACCAGTGTATTTACATCTCCACTATGCTGTTAATTGTATGTTGTTTGTTATGATCTCGTGAATAAATTATTTAAAACTGGTAACAAGACTAATGTTTTAACCCAATCGTGCATTAACGCCCTGCACAATTACATCTCGAAACCCCTGTAATACTGTTCTCAGTGAACTCGTTCGGAGTAACAGTTGTCTGGATTAACCTTCAAGTTTGGTACTGGTTTGACTGGTTACAAGTTTGGTCCCATATATTTCGCTGACAGATAAACCATTTTACATACCACCCAGGGAAATACCGAACTTCTTACTAATGCGAATGTAATGAATTGTAATTGTTACACATAACAAATGAAGCTGAGCGAACGAATGTATCGGATTGTAATGATGACTCTATTTGTCGTCTGCTTGTTGTCAATGTGCAAGTGAAAACCTTAGCCGTGAACTGATGAAGATATGTAAGATAAAGGATGTCTGTATTTCCGGAAAGATAACTCGGTTGTCAACTGGAGCATGGTTACATTGCGTGATGTACTCTGAGAGTGAGCTTGTGTTCCCTCGCCTATCGACAATCAGGGGTAGTTATATTGACACCTTCATCTTTGAGTCATCGTTCGTTCATGACTTCGGTTGAAGACCACTTTTAATACAAGTTATATTACGTCTGTCGGCTTAATGTTCGAGGAAAACCAAAAGTGATGCATGTCTCTGGCCTTTACCACTTTGTAAAAGCGAAGAGCACGTTGCCAACAAACTTAGAAACACAGAGCAAATCGGTATTCGACCTGTGAATGTCAAGAATCAACATTCAAAATCAGCAAATGAAAACCGTGAGGCGTTGTCATCCGCCTTCAGCAGTCTACCAGCATTATGTCTTGAGTCATCAGACAATTATACGGGATTTTATCTTTTATCGTCTGTGCGTCCTACTAATGGATTACAGAGATTCTAGCAAGTGTTTTGTAAAATACACAGACATTTATGGCCGTCATATCTACGTTTCACTATGTATACTGAGAGAAACAAATAAAGGATCATAGGAAAATTCAAGCGTTCCTCTGTTGGCGATGAAAACTGGAAAACAATAAAGGAACGCTTGAATTTTCCTGTGATCCTTTATTTGTTTCTCTCAGTATATGTTGCGATGATATACCCAGTGTATAAATATTTATAAACCTTCGTCCCGGGCACTTGCTGTATATTTTGAGTCGAAATGCATAGCCTGAGGAACTACGATTTTAACGAATTTATATAAGGTCCCTTTTGGTTCGTTGTAGCTGTAGTTTACTGGTGTTCGATTGGAACATCTGAGATATCTATATCGAGTAAAGGATCTCCCTGGGAACGATCACCAATTAGTCAACAACATACACGTACACTTGATTAAGACCATGACGGATTATATGAGCGTGGTTGAAAGTGATGACTATTGGGAAGATATACTGACGGTCAAAATAAAGTATACACCCATGTTTGATAGTGGTTATTCCTTGGTGATGTATTTGATACGAGCTTCGTAGTTGTGTGCAGTGTTTCGGGGATTGTTTTCAGTCCAGGAACGGTTGTAGTTTCAAACTGGTAGTCAAATCCATGTTTCATTATCACATCCAATGGATTGCTTGAGTTTAGGGGAACAGTTATGATAACATGGACATTAGGGAATTTATAACACCTTCGTGGCCTCCAAGAGCTGAAAGTATGTAGACTTGTTGATAAAATATCGCTGAAGGAACCAACGTAAATACTTTACTTGCCGAAGGGTTGACGCATGCGTAAAAACATGGGATACATGTACCTACTAAGAATTAATAACACGAAGCAGATGCGATAGATATACAACTAAGCACATGTATTTAAATGAATTGTATCAACGTGTGTTTAAATATTGTCATATTGGAGCGGTGAGTTCCTGTCTATCTGGGGCTCCTTTCACGAAGCCACCTTACTAAGATTAACCTTAACTCCCATTCTTTAACATTGCACTAAGGTTACCTTTGTGACTTCTGATCACCTTAGTGCTTTGTGAAAGGAGGCCCAGAATCATTATCCCAACATTTTCAGTTTCTAAACAATGGCTATCAGTTTTTCTAAGATGCCTCGGTGAAAGGTCAAAGGCGCCGACAATACTTTATCAGACGATAATGTGCACTTTTTGCATTAC